AGGGGATCCGTTATAAATGTTAATATTCTTTACATAATTTGATAGAGCATAGGTCACAAAAATAAGGTGATTAAAGTAATCCATCCAGTTCTCTCATAAATCATTGCCCAATTTTACTGGATAAGATGTATAATAAATAGATAGTGACCGATGGTAGGAATTGTCTTGCTGGTTGAAGTATACACACTATACTCCAGTTTTCTTTTCCTTAACATGTTAATCACAAGGCTTAATGTTCTAGCAGGAGCAGATACACACGGAGATGCCTTTATTAGCAGATGTCTCTTAGTGACAATATATGTAGAGAGAACTGAATTTACCCAAATAACTGTGTAATAGACCTCTAGTAGCACAAATGAATTAATTGGAGGTTCCTATATAGTGTAATTTTTTTCCCATAGGAGAGTGAATGGAAATAAAGACCCATATGAAATGATAATAGAAAGCAACAAAGGGAAGTTACTCTTCGGTTTGACTAAATTATTGTCAGGTAGAATATACCAAGAATTATATATTGTTGGAGGAGAAAATGGGGACATTATATATTGATGGAGACCAACTAATCAAGAAGATATAACTAAACTTATAAGCATCTAAGAAAGAAGATAAATAGAAATGAAGGAAATACTGTCAAAATTGAAAGGATAAATAGTTTTATAAAAATAGAAGGTGACTTCATACCTCATTTTCAAAAAATGAGTAGAATGGCTGTGGAGATGGCCAATAAAAAATACAGGACATAAACAAAACAAACTACAACATATCTTAACAAGCATATCCAGACCATTCCACTTAAACAGTGGAGTTTCATTGCACATGAAACATTACTAGACTGAACTATATATAAGGCCAGAAACTAGCCTCAATAAACTTATAAAAATTCAAAACATATAAAACATCCTCCCCAAATACAACACAACTGAACCAGAAATGAATAACAAGGAAATCTCAACTTTTACTACAGAACATATTCTTATATAAAAGAGTAAAAATATTAAAAAGAGAAATTATAAAATAGTTTTCAAAGTGTATATGGAAATAAACCATAGTATATTTTGTGGCAGAACAAAAAAACCAGTAATTATAGGAAATTTGTGTACTGACTATATTTAAAATTTATAAGTGACTATATTTAGAATTATTATGATGTCAAGTGCAAAACCTAGCTTTAAACCTCCAGGATTTTGTATTAAATCATGAAAACTAAAAGCAACAGAAATAAGAAGATAAGATCAGTGCAGAATGAACAGAATGTAGAAAAATAATAGAGAACAATCAATAAACCCAAAGGTCGATTTTGTGGAAAAGTATACAAAATAACAAAACTTTCCAGACCAATTTTGTAAAGAAAGAAAACTCAAATTGCCAAACACACAAATGAAACTAGGATATAACTACTGAACAAATACAAATAAGAACAATTATAATAGAATATTCTGAACACCTGAACAAGAACATATTAGATAATATAGATAAAATACAAATCCCTAGAAATAAACAGACTACCAAAACAAACTCCAGAGATAGAAAAGAACTGAACATATATCTAACTAGTGAGGAGATATTATTCATAGTGAATAACTTCCAACAGAAAAAATCCCAGGAATAGGTCACTTCACTGGTGAGTTCTCTTAAACAAATGTTCCACAGTAACATAAGATTTTAACACAGAAGAAACTGGGTGATGATTTGTACTCAATTCCTATGCCTTCTGTAGGAAATTATTGCCAACTTGAAGGTTTACAAGAATACATTTTCTATCCCAGTTTTGAGAATTAAAAGGCTGAAGTCATCTCAAAGAGCTGAAGTCAATGGTCTGTCAGAGCCTGGTTCATTCATTGGGTTATCGCTTCCATCTACTAGTGGTTTCTGACATTCCTTGGTTTGTGGTCATATCACTTCAATGTTACTTTGCAGACTCTTTTTGCCTAACTTAAGTCTTTCTAACTTTTTACGAGGATACAGGGGCTTCCTTTCAGGACATACACAGAGAATCATGGATTATCTCTCATTGTTTTAATTCAAACTTAACCACATGTTCATAGTTCTTTTCGGCCACATAGATTAAGATTGAAAGGTTTCAGAAATAGAACATGAATATTTTTGTCTGTCACAGCATCATATGGTCACATTCTGCACTATATTTAATGATTTTTCTGTAAGTCCAAGATATTTGTAAAATTAAATAATAACTAAAAAATTGAAAATGGTTTCAACATAACTGCAAATCTAAATACTGAAGTATTATATTATACTACACTGCTGCCCCAAGGAATACATCTTAGCAGATTCAAGTTCAATATTACAAATACCTAGGTGTGGAGTCCTCCTATCTTATAGGAGGAATAAGTTACACATGGAGACACAAACATGGGTAAGTTTTGAATAATACTGAGCTCTCTGAACATCAAAACTAAAAACAGGAAAGTTGTGATTTGTATTAGTATATTGAATGTGCATTATGTTTTCTACTGACAAATAGTGTTTGTATTCTATATAAAAATTTGGAATCATCTCAGTTAATTTTATGTCTATGACTGCAGTAATTTCTTAAATATAACCATATGTGAATTGTTTAAATAATGGCATATTGAATGTATATTTATAAATTACAACATAATGTTTAAATAATGTGCTTCTTGCTACTTAATGAGAGATCAATTTCTAGGAAAAATTCTGAGAGTGTTTTAAATAAATCTAGTTGATGAATGGAATTCCTAGGAAATCATTTTGTTTAAAAGTGAGGTATGAGAACTGTCTGAGAATGTATAAAGCTGATCACTAGCCATGTCTCTTGGAATGTTGATTTAGAAGTTATTTTTTATGAATGGGTCAAAGGTTCAACATATTAGTGCAATAAAACTGAAAGCTCAATTACTTTATTCAGTTATTTAACAAATATTTATTGAGAATCTACTGTGAAACAGACATCTATTCAGGTATTGATGATAATGGTGTGAAAAAACAAATAAAGTGACTGATCTCATGGAATTTACATTCTAGTTTGGGAAGATAAATAAGAAACAGTAAGCAACTAAACAGCAGGTAAATGTTGTGACAGATGAAATAGGAGGAGGTGACAGAGTATGTCATGAGTGGAGAGTAAATATTTCACAAAGGTGGTCATGGGAGGACTCTAGGAACATTTGAGCAAAGAACTGAATGGTGTAAGTGAATTTTTCAAAGGGGAAAAATAAAGACAAAGACCCTGAAGGTTGAGCATGATTGGAGTTGTGAAAAATAGCCAGGAAATCAGTGAGGGGAAAACCTGCAGGAATCACAATAGAGAGTATAACTCAATTATAGTAAATATAAATAGTCTATATTAATAATTTTAAAACACTCAGAAAGAAAATGCAAATTACTAGTTTCTCAATTTAATTTATAAACATATAACTCAACTAAAATAAATATAAATAGTCTGTACTAATAATTTAAAAACATTCAGAAAGAAAATGCAAATTACTAGTTTCTCAATTTAATTTATAAACATTCAGAAAATATGTAGTATTATACTAATGCACTCAAATGTTTTTATTTTTCTTGCATTTTCTCATACTCTGGGGATTTTATTCTATAAAAATCAAAATATTTTCAACAGGTCTCATTTTGAGACTTTTCCAGGAATGGAAGGAAAGGGGACTAAAGGAGAATGATAGAGGGGGTGGATTCAATAAAAAAGAAATCAGAAAATGTTAAAATATGAACATGCTCTTTATATAAAATGACTTAGTTAAATATAAATGTTAACTCACAGAAGATGCCAGAATTGTTCATATCTTGGTAAAAAGTGCAAAGAGAAAACACAAACTTTAATTTAATAATATACCATGATTTTTCTCTAATAGGACTCTAAGAATAACAATGAAAGAAATCAATGTTACATGAATTTTGTTCCTAAGACACAAATTAAATACTAAATTATAATCATAAGCACTACATTATTAGTTGGATTTCTTCAGTGAGACAGAATCAATGGGACACTTACAGACATATAAGAGGGAGATTTGTTATTGTTTTGTATTTATGTGATATGGAGGCTGTGAAGTCCTTAAACATGCTTTGTGAAGCAGAAAATCAAGGAAGGAGGTGGTAAATTCAAAAGAAATGGGAGGTGAGGAATGGCTTCTCTTAAATTTTGAAGATAGACAAGCCAAGAGTCTGGCTCAGATTAGTAGCACTGTTGGCCAAGAGCAAAAGGAGATGGATGGGATGGCCCAGATAGAGAACAGAGGAGAGAGAGAGAGAGAGAGAGAGAGAGAGAGAGAGAAGGAGAGAAAGAGAGAGAAAATGAACTGAACAGTGGAGTGCTCGATGGGCTGTGGGCTGGGTGGTAGCCACTCATATTTCTGAGGGCACATCTTCTTTATTAAATCTGATGCTCCAAATATTAGATAGATACTTTGAAAACCTGTCAAAGACACAAAGAGTAAAATGTTTTCTATTTCTAACTTGGTATACCTCAATCTAGTGAACTTAACACATAAAAGTAATCACTACATAACCACATCTTGTTTAATTCTAGCAAATTTACTATGCATGTATCTGTCACCATGGGAGTCCTGTGTACATTTTTTCTGCTCATGGGCTCTTGACTTGTCTTACATTTGTATAATATGGGGTAGGAGAAAACACAAGTAAAATGAGGGAAAACATCAATATCCTGCATGTTTCTTTCTTTTTTTTTTTTTGCATTGGGTGTTGTACTAACTTGTCAGGACTACCACAATCTTCCTACTACTGCCTCCTGAGAGGCTGGGGATTACATCTGTGTGCCATCGGGTCAGTCTCTGAATGAGGGTTTATAGTAGTAGGTCCCAAGATATTTTATGCTTTCTCATTCAGTATGTATTTTGGACATAATGTTTTCTTTTTTTTTTATTAAACAGACTTTTTTAGGAACTCAAATTCATGTATAGGATTCAAATAATACCCAGTACATGGAAAAAATCTGCAGAATGAACATAAGTATTGTACATCCCAAAAACATGAAATAGCAATCATAAAGATAATTTTGCCTCAACTACAATCTTCATGAATGACCTCTTGACCTCCTTGTTCCTCAGGCTGTAGACCACAGGGTTCAGCATGGGAATGATCATAGTGTAGAACACAGATGAGATTTTGTCTGTGTCCATGGAATGACTGGAGCTGGGCTGCACATACATAAAGATACTAGTCCCATAGAAAATGGAAACTGCTGTGAAGTGGGAGGCACAGGTTGATACAGCCTTCTGATGTCCTGAGGTTGAATGAATCCTTAGCATGGTGATAAAGATGAATATATAGGATATCCAGATAACCAGGAGAGCAGAAAAGATATTAAAGCTAACTACATAAACAAGAACCAGCTCACTCACCTGACTATCAGAGCAAGAGAGAACCATGACTGCTGGAATATCACAGAAAAAGTGATGGACCACATTAGACTTACAGAAGGAGAGACTGAATGTGTCTCCAATGTGGATGGAGGCATTCAGAAAACCAATAGCATAAGATCCTATGACCAGACACATACACACACTTGTGGTCATGGTGGTGGTGTAATGCAGGGGCTTACACACTGCTGCATAGCGGTCATAGGCCATTGAGGCCAAGAGGTAATTTTCCACCGTAATAAAGGCTGCAAAAAAGAACATCTGAACAGCACAAGTATTGTAAGATATGATTTTGTCTCCCATAAGGAGTCCGGCCATGACCTTTGGAGTGACAGCTGAAGAATAACAAAAATCCACCAGAGACAAGTTACCAAGGAAAATGTACATGGGAGTGTGGAGCCGAGAGTCCAAGAGAATCAACAGGATCATCCCCAGGTTCCCAACCAGGGTGATGATGTAGATGAGGAGGAAGGTGATAAAGAGGGGAACCTGTAGATCTGGGTCACCGGTCAGTCCCAGCAGGATGAAACATGTCACCTCTGTCCTATTCTCCATCAATGTAGTTGAATAATCTCTGTAGCAATGAGGAAAAGAGCAGAATGATAGTTACTGAATTGAAATTGGAAAGTATAAGAACAGTATGTTATCTGTCATTCTAGCTATTACTTGTTTTTCATAATTCTCTAAAAACCCAAGTTCTTGAAAACCAAATTGAGTACATTAATAATATGCATGATTATACATTATCAAATTGAAGAATCTTAATAGGTTATGTGTATGTTTAAAATTTATATTTGTAAACTATCACTGAGATAATTTAAAGGCTTGATAGAAATGACTTTTATGGATAAATCTGTCTACTAGTTACTTCTCAAGAGCCTAGTAAGAGCTGACACTTCCATTTGCCTACCGGCCAAAACCTGATGTACTGCTGGAGACACTTTGGATGTTCATTCCTTGTCTCTTCTCAGCAGTGAGTTTGATTGGTTGTTACATTTCTGTGAATTATAAAGCACAAGCATTTGTATAATTCACTCATATTTGCATAAGCATTAATTGGTAATCTTGTCCTTGTACATACTCAAACTTTAATCTATACCAAATGCTTTCTAAGCCTAAGGGCCTAAAGTGAATTTAAATTGAATTTGATTAACTCAATTTACATATACCGATTCTCTACTTTGGTTCAAATTCAGTGCAAAGTGTTTCAGAGTGAATGGAGTGATTAATGTAGTTGTTACTTTCATCTTGTTCACTATATATTTGACTCTCATTGGAGGTAAAGCAAGTGAGTAAATATCCAGAAGAATGACCTGGTGTCTCTTTCAATGACAAAAGTGTCAACAATTATGTAACAAGCTTTGAATTGCATTGTAACCTTTCCTCACTATCTCATGCTCAATATCAGCAGCATATCTACACATGTTGACAATGATGTGAATAAATCATAAACTCTATATTATACTGAAGATGAGTTGAGTTACTGAATCAATTTAGCAATTTTCTATGCACCATTGATGTGGTGAGATAAATGGAATGGTGGGAACAAGTGCCACCTACAGAACCAATTCTAAGTGAAATCATATTCTTAAATGCAGCCAAAAGAGAGGAAGCTCTTAGAATATATTTATATGAGAACTGTCACCAACTCACAGTTACTGGTTGCAATCTATGTCCATTGACATCATATTTCCATTTACAAAATGAAGGCTGTAGTGAGACCTACTTTTATGTATTGTTGTGAGAATTAAATAATACATACACATTAAAATAATAATCTTTATAAAACAATCAGCTTCTGAGTGCTCATCACAGATGATGAATGGTACCTATCATGTTATTTTTAGGTTAGAATAATAGTATTTGTGTTGGTTTGTTAAGGTAAATGCCAACATGCAAGGTGTCAGTTGCAGGTGAGTTTGCACCTTTCATCTTCAATTTGCCTTTCCTCCTACACTAGGGCCCCCGAATTTGTGTGTGCTTTCCAGTCTGTCTCTGTTTCCTTACTCCAAGCATATTATTTCTACTCCTCTAGTCAAGGTAAGTCATTTTTTCTCTTGAAATCTTTATTTTCATTTGTGCAAAACAATCCATTCTTCCTCTTATTTTTGTGGTACTGGGGATGAACCCAGAGTCTTGCACTTGTTAGCACTTTACCATTTCAGCCATGTCCTTAGTCCTTTAAATTTTACCTTGTTTTTCAGATAAGGTCTTGCTAAGTTTGTTTGGGTCTTCTAAGTGGCTGGGATTACAGGTGTGCACCACCTTGGCTGAAGAGTCCATTTTTCTTCACACTCCTTTAATTACTATTCTGCCAGAGCCAAAGCACTGAGATCAAGGGTTGAAAATTCCCAGTTTATGGGCTGTATTTAGGTCCCAGATCTGGGAATTTTTGGCAAGGTCCATGTTTAAATATTTTTTTACAATCTACTTTAGAGTAGTAACAATATTTAAAATCTCTTTATTTGAATTACAATCTTTAGTATATCTACCCAAAGCTAGCTACCATTTCTTACTATATTTTTTGTTTGCCTTTGGTAACTTTAATTACCATTTTCCCCTTGAAGACATTTTGGTTGCTAATCTTAACATCCATGTTCACTTTCACTAATGCTATGTTCCAAAACTAATGCGAAGGTATTTACATGTAAATGTGTGTGACTGTGTAAGGTAGGTAGTCATATTATTTTTGTTTTACCCATAAGGAAAGTGAGGATTTGGGAAATTATTAGAATTTGAGGAATTATTAAAATTATCCAAGAAAGACTCAAGGTTCAAAAGTTAAATCCACCTTCCAAGAATAAGCTTGAGATAATGGTAAAAGAGTTAAAAGGCAGTTAGAATCTGTTAATTCATTTAGGACCTTTTTGCAGTAAAGAAGGATCATGTCATTTTCTGGAGCTTTGCTTATTTGTATTTCTTTTACTAACCTTAAATGAGATTCAAACATATAGTGCACAAGATAGAGTAATCAAGCAAGGTGTCATTTATCATATTTTTTGCTCATATGTTAGGTGAAAGAAACATGATTTGTTGTGAGTCACCGAAGTCTCTATTTATACTGAAAAGTATTTAGAAATATTTGTAAAACATTTCTTTCCATTTTCCAATACCTCATATAAGGTACAGATACCCCTCTGCTGTTGTATTAATGACACTTCTTACTTCAATGTTTATGGAATATAGAGGTTTAAACTTTTGTGAAAGAGAAAGCTCAGTTAATCCAGAAGGGTGATTTTGAAATCATAACATCCACTATGCAATACTGTTTACACCCGATTAGAGGAGCTGCCTTTCAGCTAGTATTCAGACTGTCCCAACTCCTCTTATGCAGAGGATATGGATGAAAAAGTATAAACATGTGTCAAGTTCTGAGTCTACTGTGAATTTTTTCTGTGCCTTTGGAAGTCTTACTTACCTCTTCCTTATTTATTAAATAAACATGGTAAGATTACTTCTATCTCACAATTCAAAGATCCTGTCTGTAGATAATAAGTAAGATAGGTCTATGAAATCATCAGGTGAAAAGGTAATCATTTAAGTCAATCAATGTCACTTTACCTTTGACCTAACCATAGTTGAAGGTTCTGAGCAAGTCCTCAGGTGAGAAGGCCTGTGTGCACTAACAATGATTATCATTCAAATGAATAGATGATGTCCAATAGGACATGGAATATAGTGTGTTTCTTCTACATGCCTGATACTGAGTCATACTGAGATTTCTAAGGCTAATACACAGAGATCTGAAGAGAATTATAGTAAATTACAGATCTCTAGAGATTTCTCCCAGGAGAAATATATAAATCTTCTCATCTAGCTCTTCTAGGGAAGAAGCAATTAGCTTGCCTGTAGGAATCAAACTAGTTATCTTTCTAAAATTAAACTGATAAATGAAAAACATAAAATTTATACATACTATGAGTTACCATGAGATGTTCCTATACATATATGCATTATGTAATGTTTAAATGAAGTTAAATATGTCCGTCTCCTCAAATGTTTATTATTTCTTAAAGGGAATATTTTCAAAACTCTTTCTTCTAACTTTTGGAAATGTAGAGTGCATTATCGTTATCCAGAGTCACAATATGGTGCAACAGCACACCAGAACTTATTGATCCTAACTTCAGCTTGGTACTCATTGATTGATTTTCCTAAACCATTCCATCCTCCATTCTCACTAGCCTCTTAACTCTATTGAATTCTCAACTTCTATGAGATCCCATTTTAAGAATTCTACATGAGTGAAAGTGTTCAGTAAGTATCTGTCCAGTTTAGTTTATTTCACTTAACATACTGATCTCCAGTTACATTCTTATTGTCACAAGTGACAGAATTTCATTCTTGTACATGGATAAATAGTATTCTATGCTGTATATACATTACATTTTCTTTATTCATTTATAAGGTGATGGAAACTTAGGTTGTTTTGATTTCTTAGCTAATGTGAATAGCATTGCAAGGAACACAGAGTGCAGATGTCTCTTTCATATACTGATTTCATTCCCTTTGAATTTTTCTCAGTTTTTTTCCCATATCATAGGATTTAGCTTCAATCTGATGATTGTTTGCTTTACTGAGGTGAAGATTTTCAGTTTGATTTAATTCCATTTATTTATTTTTGTTTCCGTTCCCAGTACTTTGGGGGGTATTCTCATTAAGAATTTATTTCCCCATTCTACTGTGCTGTAGCATTTCCCTGTTTTCTTCTACTAGCTTCATAGTTATAGGTCTTACACTTAATTTTCTTATAAATTTTGAATTATTTTTAGAAATCTGGTAAGAAATAGGGCAAAAGTTTCATTTTCTGTATCTGGATATCCACATTTTCCAACAGTATTTTTAAAACAACTCTTCTTCCTCCAATGTGTATGGTTTGCATCTTTGTCAAAAATGAGCTGGCGATGGATGATGATGTCTTGCTACCCTTATAGAACTTTCAAGATGATTATTACATGGATAGATACAAAATATAGCATAATTTCTAACACATAACAGGGGTTTTATGGGTCAAATATTAATAGTTATTGTTTATAAAATTAGATACAACATGAGTGTCAAAGTATAGATGCTAGAATAATCCATTTAGTTCCCTACATGTTTCTCTCCCAATTCAGCTAGGTAGGACATAAAATAGCTTGAGATAATGAACTTGGTGAAGAATTGTTATGTTGGTTTGGGCACACATACTACTCTCAAGCTGTCTTCTCTCCTGCCACAGTCACCAGTAGGCTTAGTGTTCCAGATCTTAGTATCTATAGATCTTCATGCATCAGAAAGTGCCTTTGAATGCCACATTTGAGTGAGCTCTTCAGTTACTCATACAAACTGTATGATACGTATGTAGTAGTATAAATGAGAAACAAACCAAAAGACAATGGCTTATAGCTGAGATTAAATTGAAGATAGTGAGGTAAGAGTAGAATCTGGGTTATTCCTGGACCCTAAATACAGCTATCAATAACTTATAATACAAAGACAGGAAAAAAGGCTGATTAGGGTATTCCAAAGTTTCTGTCACTAAACCATAACACTGGAAAGCAAAACAAAATCATTATTTATTTATTTTTTTAAAAAATTTTAATTTTTTTATTATTCATATGTGCATACAATGCTTGGGTCATTTCCACCCCCTCCCTTACCAACCACTCCACCCCCTCCCTCTCCCCCCCACCCCTTCGATACCTGGCAGAAACTATTTTGCCCTTATCTCTAATTTTGTTGAAGAGAGAGTATAAGCAATAATAGGAAGGAACAAGGGTTTTTGCTAGTTGAGATAAGGATAGCTATACAGGGAGTTGACTCACATTGATTTCCTGTACATGTGTGTTACCTTCTAGGTTAATTCTTTTTGATCTAACCTTTTCTCTAGTTCCTGGCCCCCTTCTCCTATTGGCCTTGGTTGCTTTTAAGGTATCTGCTTTAGTTTCTCTGCGTTGAGGGCAACAAATGCTAGCTAATTTTTTTAGGTGTCTTACCTATCCTCATACTCCTTTGTGTGCTCTTGCTTTTATCTTGTGATCAAAGTTCAATACCCTTGTTGTGTTTGCCCTTGATCTAATGTCTGCATCTGAGGGAGAACATATGATTTTTGGTCTTTTGGGCCAGGCTAACCTCACTCAGAATGATGTTCTCCAATTCCATCCATTTACCAGTGAATGATTACATTTCGTTCTTCTTCATGGCTGCATAAAATTCCATTGTGTATAGATACCACATTTTCTTGATCCATTCGTCAGTGGTGGGGCATCTTGGCTGTTTCTATAACTTGGCTATTGTGAATAGTGCTGCAATAAACATGGGTGTGCAGATGCCTCTGGAGTAACCTGTGTCACTGTCTTTTGGGTATATCTGCAAGAGTGGTATTGCTGGATCAAATGGTAGATCAATGTCTAGCTTTTTAAGTAGCCTCCAAATTTTTTTCTAGAGTGGTTGTACTAGTTTACATTTCCACCAACAGTGTATGAAGGTTCCTTTTTCCCCGCATCCTCGCCAATACCTGTTGTTGGTGGTGTTGCTGATGATGGCTATTCTAACAGGGGTGAGGTGGAATCTTAGCATGGTTTTAATTTGCATTTCCTTTATTGCTAGAGATGGTGAGCATTTTTTCATGTGTTTTTTTGGCCATTTGAATTTCTTCTTTTGAGAAAGTTCTGTTTAGTTCACTTGCCCATTTCTTTATTGGTTCATTAGTTTTGGGAGAATTTAGTTTTTTAAGTTCCCTATATATTCTGGTTATTCAGTCCTTTGTCTGATGTGTAGCTGGCAAATATTTTCTCCCACTCTGTGGGTGTCCTCTTCAGTTTAGAGACCATTTCTTTTGGCAAAACAAAATCTTTAATAGAAACTTTGTTAGAATCTGGGAAATTGTGGAAGAAACAAAGTGAAAGCTGAGTCAAGAAAAATATGTGTTAACATGACATTTAAAGAAGTATTGAAAAACTTCCAGCTAACATAAAAGAAAGGAAAAGTGGCTTAAGATACTTTTTACAAAGAATATGGGTGTAGGAGGGTGAATGTAGTAGAAATTTGTACTCTTGTATAAAAATGGAAAAATGAGTCCTGTTGAAACTACTCTAGTGGGAGAGGGGAGGTAAAGAAGGGGATGAGTTCAACTACTACATATTGCAAAAACTTTTGTAAATGTCACAATATACCCACAGCACAATAATAATATGACAATAAAATGCACAAAAAACAAAAAAAAATAGAATGTTCACTAAATAAATAACTATACCTACAGCAAGCAACAAAAATGACCTTAGGAAAGGAGGAGAATTTTACTTTCAGAGTTATCACATTGCAATATTTTAAATGTAAAATCTTCAACAAGAGCAATTTATAAAGAAATAAGGGCCTCTGTTTCATTCACAGTGAAAAGAAATTAATAGTAACTTGCTTGAAGAAGTTTAGATATTTTACTTAGTAGTCAAAGATTTTTCTCTCCCTTCCTTTTTTCCTTCCTTCCTTCAACAAAACAGACTGTGTGTCAAAAATCAAAGAGAAAAATAGACATTCATTAGTAGAATTCCCAAATAGTGAAGAGAATAAAATAAAAAAACACGTCATCTAACAACTGAAACTCAAAATACATGAAGCAAATTTTGAGAGAAATAGATAACCTTACAACAATAGATGAAGACTTCATATATCTTCCAGTAATGAATAGGTTGACTAGAGAGAAGATCAATAAGGTAGAGGATACAAGGATATTCATTTGAAACTGTTGAAAAATTTAGGGTGGGAGGTAAAGGAGTAAGGGAGAGTAATGGAAAGGGTTGAACAGTCCAAAGTAAAGTATACTCACAGTAGGGATACATTGAGAAACCATTTGAACATTGACTTATATATTAATAATGAAATACAGGACTGTAAAATAGGCACAATGTGTGTGTGGAGGCAGGTACTAGTGGGAAGGTGGTGGGTGAATGAGGGAGATTTAGGTGAAGGTATATGGTTGATGAACTTCATGTACTTATATGAAAGAGAACAAAGGAACCTCTTGCAATTGCTTTAAGTGGGGTGGGGAGGGGGCTGAAGGGGTGTGACTAACGGGGTGATCTAATCAATGTACAATATAAGCCTATTTGGAATTGTTAATATGAATCCTCCCTGTATAATGAATATATCCAAACTAAAAAAAAATAATTGAAAAGCAGAAAAAAACAAATAGAGGATCAGTTAACTTTTTTTTTTCAGTACTAGGGATTGAACTCAGTATCTCATGCCTGCTAGGCAAGTCTTTTCTACTTGAGTCACATCCTCTAATTAATTTTTATCTGATATTTATATCAGGCTCCCCAAAATGGGAATTCTTAATTGCATATGAAACATTCCTTAGGATAAACGATATAATAAGGAAAAAACTAGTCTCAATAAACTTAATATTGAAATACGATGAGACATCTTCAACAACCACCATATAATTGAAGTAGAAATCAGTAGTAACAAAATTTTAAATACATACATACATATTTACTGACACTACAGCCAGTGGGTAAAATTGATGAGTAAAAAATAGATGAGTAGAGAAACTATGAAATAGTTTGAGATGAATAAAACTAAAATATAGCATAGTCAGTAAAAGCACAGGTCATAGGAAATTTATAATTGTAAGCACTGATACTGTAAAACAAGAGTGACAGGAGGGAAATAACCTAACTCTAAACCTTAAGGAGAAATTATTAAAAAGTGAAAAATTTGAAGTAGCATAAGGAAGAAATAAATTTCAGAGCAAAGTAAAGAAAATACAATATAGAATAAGAATATGGTATATCAGCAAAACAGAAATTTGATTTTGTGGAATGATCACCAGAGAATACATTTTCTAGATTATCCATGAAAAAAGAGAAAATTCAAATTGCCAAAATCCTCAATTAAATGAGGATATCACCATTGACCTTATAAAAAACAGAAAAATTATAATAGACTTTATAATTATAATTATGGTATACTTATAATCATACAATTATAATGTATAACTCTACACTAACATATGGATAACAGACAAAATAATAAGTTGCTGGAAATACATACACTATCAAAAGTGACCAAAAATTTTTGCCCAAAAAGCAAAAATCTGAACATATCTATAACAAATATAGAGATTGAATAATGGAAGTATTCAAAACAATAAAAGCCCAGGAAGAGATGGCTCCACTTGTTAATTCTCCCAAAGTAACATTTAATAATAATAATAAGAGAAAAAACAGAGGAGGGTTTTTCTTAACAATTTTCTACGGCAGCTCTAACAACAAAGAAGCTCTAACTACAAGTTGAAGGTTTACAACACATATTTACTCCATTACAGTTCTTGAATCTAGATGTCTGAAATCAATCTCACTGAGCTAAAAACACTGGTCTGTCAGAGGCATAGCTTCTCCACAGGCTCTAAGAGGCATTCTATTTCTTATCTTTTTCATCTTCTGGTAGCTGCTGCTGGCATTTGATGACTTGGTTCACAATTTATTGGTATTGCTTCACTATGACAATGTCTATTAAATACTTCTAACTCCCTTTTATAAGGGGACATGAGATTCCTTTTAGGGTACGCATGAATAATCTCAATGATTTCTCCTTCTTAAAATTCTGAACTTAATCATATCTGCAGACTCCTTTTGGTCCACATGGTTTAAATGGAAAGGCTTTAAAAGCACATGAATCACTTCTGGGCCATTACTGAGCTTTCCAGAGTGTGCAATGTCACTCATATGATGAACTATTTTGAATAAATTTATGGGGGAAGAGCTGAGATAAATAAGTTCAGATATTGTACATCCCAAAAGTTAAGATCAAATCACAAAAATTATTTCATCTACAAAACAATCTTTGCAAATGCACTTTTAACTTCCTTGTTCCTGAAGCTGTAGACTACAGTGTTCAACATTGGGATGATCATAGTATAAAACACAGATACAATTTTGTCAGTGTCCATGGAATGACTGGAACTAGGTTGTAAGTACATGAAGATAAGAGTCCCATAGAAAATGGAGACTGTAGTGAGGTGGGAGGCACAGGTAGATATAGCCTTACGATATCCTGCAGCTGAATGCATCTTTAGAATGGTAATAAAAATTCTCATGTAGGATGTTAAGATTACTAGGAGAGCAAAAAATATATTGAAGCTGGCCACATACATACAAACAAGATCATTAATATGTCTGTCAGAGCAAGAGAGAACCATGACTGCTGGAACATCACAGAAAAAATGATGGACCACATTGGACTTACAGAAGGAGAGACTGAATGTGTCCCCAGTATAGATGGAGCCATTCAGGAAACCATAGACGTAGGAACCTATGACAAAACGAGCACACACACTTGTTGTCATGGTGGTGGCATAATGCAGAGGTTTACACACTGCTGCATAGCGATCATAGGCCATTGAGGCCAAGAGACAATTTTCTACAGTACCAAAGGCTCCAAAAAAGAAGATCTGAGAGGCACAAGTATTGTAGGACATGACCTTGTTTACCCTAAGGAACCCAGCCATGACCACAGGAGTGATTGTTGAAGAGTACCCAAAATCCACCAGAGACAGGTTACCAAGAAAGAAGTACATGGGAGTATGGAGATGAGAGTCCAAGAGAATCAACAGGATCATCCCCAGGTTCCCAGCCAGAGTGATGACATAGATGAGGAGGAAGGTGATAAAGAGGGGGACCTGCAGATGTGGGTCATTGGTCAGTCCCAGCAGGATGAACTGCATCACCTTTGTCCTGTTCTCCATCAATGTCATAGATAGTCTCTTTGTCTTCTGTAACCATGAAATAAAGGGAAGAGAATGATAAAGAAATTGAATTGAAATTGAAATACATATGTATTCTTTCATTGTAGCAACAACTTGTATTCCAAGATTTTCTCAATACAATCATGGACTTAAAACCTAAGTTTGGCACATTAATAATATACAGAGTTACAAATTTGAAGAATATTAATTGATCATATACCCAATTAAAATTTTTACATGTTTATCAACTAAGATGCAAACAATTTAGGAACAATAAAAATTCGTTGTGTATATGCACTCGCTTCTTCTGAGTTCAGTAGCTAGCTGGAACATACATATTGCTCACTTGCCAAGATTAGGTTTAGAAAGTGTCTACATTAGGCAATACTATGAACTTGGTTTTTATATTTCTCCAAGTGATAAAGCACAAGATATTGACTTGTTCATATTTGCATGAGTATTAATTGGCAATCTCTCTTCTGGATTGATGCCAAATTTTAACCCATGCTGAGATATTCCTAAATTGAATAGTATAGAATAATTTAAATCGAGTTGAATTTAGCTCAATTTATTGTTCCTCCTTATCTGCTGTGGTTTAAAGTCAGTCTGGGGGAGTGTCATGGTAAACTGAATGGCTGATTTGGTGTGATCATTTTTGTCTTGCTGACTCTGTGTTTGGCTCTCATTAGGAAGTCTTCGAGGGTGAAATAATCCTCCTTTCAATTACAAAGAGTCTTCAATTAAATTATTAAGTCTGTGTCATATTTTAACCTTTTTTTGAAAATTCTCAGGCTTATTCCTACCAGCACAACCACACATGTTGATTGTGATGTGACTGAAAAACAGACTTTTGCTTAGGTTGTAGAAGAGTTTAACTCTTCAGTCAACATAGCACATCTGTTTTCACACAGATCTTACAGGGTTGTGGAGCATTTTCTTCCTGCAGAAGAAATCCTGAATGATGGATGTCATCAGATTTAACAGATGTAGAGCTTAAATTATTAGAAGAGGTATATATCAGACCTTCCGCTTACTACTTAGGATCCACTGGTCCTAATCTAACTCCCCTGAACAAATTTCATCTTCATAATGAGGACAGTAATGAGGCCTGCTTTAAGGTATTATTGTGAGAATTAAGTATGATAATGCATAAAAGAAAAGAAATGTTGGATACTATCATGTTATTCTCGGGATGAGATAATGGTCTTCACTGTAATGCTATAACTAAATCACAGAGAACAAGAATTGAGCATTTCTAACTTTTTGGATGTCTTTATCTTACATATCTGTTATTGGGGCAAGTTCTGTGTTGGAAAATATTTTATTTGAATTTGTTCTTGTATATTAACAGTATTTAAAACTTTTAAAATTTGAGTTTCAGCCTTTAGAATGATATGCATCCATTAATAACCACTATTCTCTGCTTTATTTCTTCTTTGGGAACTTCACTTTACAAGCCTGCCATATGAACATATTATGTTGGCAAACCTGTACACATGTGAGCACTTTTAAACTTACACTATATTCCAAAACAAATGATATGGGCTTTATATGTTAATGTGTGTGTGCCCATGTAAGGTAGGTAGAATTATTCTTATCCCTGTATCAAAGAAATTGAAGATTTAAGAAGGTTCTGCAGCTGTAAAATTATATAGCTAATATGAGAAAACCTCAAAATGCAAGGTTTAAAGTCATCTTTAATCTCAGCTAAAAGTATGTGTTTAGCCATATCGCTGACAACAGGAATGGATGTGCTGGTAATGAAGTGTGAGTTTACATGGAAAAGGTAAAAATGAAGTTTAGAGCAGGTTAATTCATTAAGGACCATTTTGTATTTTAAAGAAGAATATTCTCAGCCTTCTAGGTTCTTGTTTATTTATTTACCGCCAATGAGATGTGAGCAAGATAAAATCAGCAGCTAACCAATGAGAGCATCATGTTTTCTATTTTGTGTGCAGATATTTATAAAAATAAGCATAATATTTTATAAGAATCACTAAACTTCTTATGATGGGATTTTTGACATCTACCTCCTAAATTCAGCTCAGTTTTTGAAAAAATGTTGAAACTATCTCCTCTCTGTCATATGTATAATACAGACCTAACACAAATGCAGGAATATTATGAAACACTGGTAACACTAAGGGGAGGTCATGCACAAGAGGAGTAGGGAAAATAAGAACTTAAATAGGGTTGATATGCTCTCTATAAAAGAATGAATATACAAAATACCATAAGAAAGAGACTAAGTTAGAATGAAGAAAATTAGAGTAGATATACCAATTGAGGTTATAATACATATATACATGAAACTATCACAAGGAAACTTCCTGTGTAGCTACCTTTATCTCAAATAAGCTAAAATGTCATGTAAAAAATTAAGTAAAGCAACTCTCAACAAGTCTTTGCATGGATTACACTTCTCACTAGTGATGTTTATGGGTACACAAGCTTACCAATTTCCTCAAGAAGAAAACTGTCAATCCAGAATAGTCACCTGAAATTGTAAAATCAGCCATGAAACGCTGCATAAACTCTATTAGAGGAACTCTCTTCCTCACAGACACCAGGGCCTTGCACATTCTAGGCAAGTGGTCCACTACTGAGCTAATTCCCAGTACTGAAATTTTTTTGAGGCAGAGTCTTTCTGTGCCATAAATTCTTTGTTTCATGAATCACTTACCTCCTTATTTGAAAAATTAACACAAGATAAAATCATATCAGATTCTGTCTGTAAATAATAACTAAGACTGGTACATAAAACATTTCACAGAAAAGTTATCTATTAAGTCAATTAATATGATTTTTATCCTTGGGTATTTTCTCTGACAATGGCTTAAGGCTCATGGCAAATCCTCAGGTCAGAAGGCCTGTGCATACTAACAATAATTATTTCATATCAGTAAATAAAGATCCGTGAAGTATGGAGTGTTAGGTGGTGTTCCTTTTAAAACCACGAGATGTGGAGCCATGCTGGGATTTCTGAGCTTAATGCATGGAGATCTGAAGAGAATTACACAGACATGGAGATCTCTGGGGATTTTCCCTATGAGACTATCTATAGAAGAAGCAATTAAACCACCTGTGGAATCAAGGTGGCTATTTCAATGTGTACGCATATGCTTGTATCACTTGTCATTTCCGTTTTATTAGATGTTCTAATTAATGCATAATTTCAATGAAATGAGACCCATACAGTTTAGTGTATATTCCTAAGAAGTTTGTCTAGTATGTGGCTAGGTGTTCCCTACCTAAATCACCCAAACCAAGTCACCTGAGCATCTTTGTGATAAATCCTTCTCCTTCCCACAGCCAATGGCATCAATTAAACTGTTTTGCTCCACCTCATTTTGCCTTTGATAGAATGTCCTGAATGGTAATCTTTCAGTATGTAGTCTCTTTCTAGCACTTCCAATTTATAAGTTGAGGTCCTTCCCCTTGTCTCCTGTGCCATAATGGAATCAATTATATTGAAGAGTGTATACCACTGTATGGACATTGCAAATTACTTTTTCCATTCTGCAGTTGACCTGAATTTGTATTGATTTTATTGTTTGGTGATTATGCATCAATTTATTTGTGTGGATATCAGCTTATTGTGGTGTGAGTGAATATCTAAGAGCCAGGTTGATTTACCAAATGGTGTTTGTTTATTTGGTTGAGAAATTACCAAGTTGTTTTCTGAAAGTCTCTTCATTTTCACCTCCCACCAACAACCCATTTAAATTATTTAATTTCTTTATCCATATTTGATATTTTACATTTAAATTTTTCCACTTAATTTTTTATTGTTGTGCTATGTGGGAGTACGTTGTGGCATTTACAACGGTTCTTAAAATATATCAAATATATCATACTTGAATTCACTCCCTCCACCATTCTGCTTTGCTTGCCCAATTCCCATTACTGGAATAGTTTCAACCAGTATCATTTTTCCATTTACATACATATGTGCACAGTATTTGCACTGTATTCACACTTTTACAACCTTTCCCCTCTTCCTATCCCCCTCCCACTGGTACCAGACCACCTAAGCAGGACCTGTTCTGCTGTCCTGTTCTCTGATTTTTGTAAAAGATAAAAAAATGATAGTTTTGTGTTTTAAGATAGCTACACAGGGAGTTTCCTTGTGGCACTTCCATGTATATATGTATTATAGGCCAAATCAGTTCATATCCTCCATTTTTCTTTTATCTACCTTAGTACCTTTCTGTGGTGGGTTCAAATGGTTTAAACATTCTATATTCATTATTGCATAGAGAGTACATCAACCATATTCACCTTCTTTTCTTCCTTCTATTACCCTCACCCTGTTATATGTGACTTCCCTTAGTGTGACTTATTGTTCAAAATATTGCTGTACTTGAATTAGGTATATATTTCACATATGAGAAAAGCCATGTAGATTTTGGCTTTCTGAACCTAGATAAATGCACTGAAGATGATGTTCTCCAGTTGCACCCATTTACCTGCAAATGACTTAATTTCATTCTTGTTTGTGGCTAAATAATATTCTAATATTTCAAGTATTACATTAAGATCTGTGGTTCATTTTGATTTGACTTTCATTCATAATAAAAGAATATAACCAGTTTTACTATCATCATTTGTTGAAGAAGCTGTCTTTTCTCAGTGTAGGTTTTTGGCTCATTTGTCAAAAACAAATGATCATAGCGGTGTGGATTTCTTTCTGGGTCTTCTGTTCTGTTCTGTTGGTATTCATGTCTGCTTTTCATGTCTGTACAGCCAGAACCATGCTGATTTTTTTTACTATGGCTCTGATGTACAATTTGAAGTTCATTATTATGATTATTTCAGCATTGCTTTTTGCTCAGGATTACTTTTGCTATTCAGGGTCTTTTGTGCTTCCGTATGAATTTTAGGATTGATTTTTCTATTTCTGCAAAGAATGGCATTGGGATTTTAGATGGGAGTTACATTGAATCTGCAGATTACTTTCAGTAATATAGCCATTTTCATGTTAATTCTGCCAATCCAAGAACATGGAA